ATAGATAGATAGATAGATAGATAGATAGATAGATAGATAGATAGATAGATAGATAGATAGATAGATAGATAGATAGATAGATAGATAGATAAATAAAGTCTTACATGACAACAATTTTGATTAGAGCTGCAAACTGATTTCTTGTAATTTCGTGACATAACTGGGATCACACTCATCCATAGGCACAGACCAGCCATCAGAAGGTTTCATTTTCCTCAACAACAAGTTTTTTCTCTTCAGGTGGCTGGGAATAGGCATGAATACAGGAACACCATCAGAGGCATTTTTAACTTTCTCCTCTTCTCAGTGAAAAAGACAGACAGTATATGACTGCAAAAACAGATGAGCATTCATAATTCAGTTGAACTTCATAATGTTATATTTATGTAGTCTCCAATGTTAATCAGTGCTGTTTTCTTAACCCTTGCACCTTAGCTATATGTAGTATAGTGGTGTACATTTATGCTTCTTTTCACTTGTTTTTTTAAAGCACTGGGGCAGGATGCTGCTCTGTATACCTTTAAATAGACCACCATGTCTTTCCCTTTTATGCTGACCTAAGATGTAGGACCAACCTTCCCTCACTCACTTCCCCAAAGCAACCTGCAAGCATCTGGCTTTCTATCTATGGTGATTATTGTATACAGCATAGTTTGCCTTTAGTTGCAATGCTAGACTTACCCTGTAGCTTAACTCCCTTTGCACTGTCAGTGTCTCACTTTAGTCCTATTATAGAGCAGTAGTGTAAATCTTTATTTAGCATAGACATTGCTGTTTCTTGGTCACTAAAACACAGACGTTATATCTCCATGTCATTAGTTTGAGGAACAGGTTGATATAGTTAAATCAAATAAATGTTCCCGTCTTCCAACTAGCTTTTCCATGTTGAAAATTTATTAACTCGTCAACTTGTGTCGTTGGTGAAAACATACAGTCATTATCAAAAGCTTACAAACACTTTTGACCATGTATACTATGGCAGTCTTGCGTTTCCAATGACTCTTCAGCTACTAATTTTCTATAATGGAATGATTAAAACATACAGCTTTGTTTGTTAGTTTTTTAAAATGTTTTTTTCTACAGGCCTTTTGGAAATATGACAAAAACTGCTGGGTCAAAAATATACATACAGCAACTTATATAAGCTTCTTTTGGTAATGTCAAAAGCTGTATTAATCAAATTTTCTTTGTGGTATGACTTCATACTTTCCTCTGAGTGATCACAATTGACTAGAGCAGCTGACTTCTCTGAGCCAATTGAAATAAGGCCTATTGATACACTTAGTAGACTTTCACTTCTATGGTGATTTTGGTAGCCATCCACAAGTTTCTTGTTGTAGCTTTGATCGCTGTTCTTGACAGAATTGGTGCAATTCAAGTAAATTTATTGGCTGTCTGACAGACTCGTTCCCAACATAGTCAACAGATTCTTCTGAAACCTTAATTCTAGCCTGAATTAGCTAGTTCCTTACTGCTTTTGATTTGTGTTTCAGGTTATTGTCTTGTTAGAACGCCCACCTGTGTCCAAAACCCAACCTTCTGGCTGATGATTTAAGATTTAAGAGTTCTTTTTTTGTCAGTCAAGCTATACATCAGGAGATGCAAATTGATTTCAATGCAACTGAATTACAAGAAAAACACCAAAAAAACAGGTAGTAAAACTAGTTAACTGTGTAGGTAAAAATATGATTATATGTGATAAATAAATAAATTGTATTACTCATAAAAAGAATAGAATTACTCAGGTCCGAGTCACAGACTGTGGATGCAATGAGTCTATGGGTGCACCCATAACCGGGGGTGGTGCATCATTTTATTCAGAAGTCTGATAAGAGTCAGGCAGACGTTCTTGCTTAATTTGACAGTTCTGCTTTGCGAGCTACAGTATCTCGTGTCTGAGTGCAGGATGGTGATGGCAGGGTTGAGTCAAGTCACTGATGATGCTGATGCCTTTTGACAGGCAGCATTTTTTGTCCAGGTCCTCAACAGGTAGCAGTGAGGCCCCAATCGTTCTTTAAGCTGACCTCACCACTCTCCTCAAGGCCTGTCTGAGGCATTGCAGTTACCATACCAGAGAGAGATGCCTCTGGTCAACACACTCTTTCGAAATGTATTGAGGATTGATGGACGGAGATTTGACCTCTTGAATCGCTGCAAGAAATGAAGGCTCTGGTGAGCTCTTCTGACAAGAGAGGAAATGTGCAGATACCAGGTTAGATGGCCCATTATCCATTATACATACACCGCTTAATCCTATCTAGGGTTGTGGGAGGCTGGAGCCTATCATGAAGAATTGGTGGTTGATGTGTTATTTCCTGCCCATATACATTGAAGCCTACCTGTGACAAAGTCCAATATCCAGTTGCACAGGGGAGTGCTTAGCCCCAGAGGGCCCAGTTTGCAAACCAGATGATGGGGGGATTGTTGTATTGAATGCCGAGCCAAAGTCAACAAACAGCATTTGTACAAGTGCATCCTTGTTTTTAAGGTGATGGACAGATGTGATACAATCCTTGACTAGCCTTTCAAAGCACTTCAATATTGCGGGGGTAAGTGCTACTGGATGATAGTCTTTTTGGCAAGTGACTGTAGATTTTTTTGGAACTGTGATAATAGCTGAGGTTTTGAAGCATGATTAGAGATGTAGAGAGATGTTGAATATGTTTGTAAGGACATGAGCCAGTAGGTCTGCGCACTGTCTAAGCGAACAGCCTGGTACCTTGTCAAGATCTGCAGCTTTCCATGAATGAATTTCCGCAGGATCCAGTAGACAACAGCTGAGTCATGACTTGACACCTGGTCGTCAAGATGCATAGTGGCTGTTAATGCTGGCGCACTGTTAAGCACCTCAAATAGAGCAATGTAATTACTAAAGTCACTGAAGAAGTCAGGGCTGTTGCTGCAATCTGTGACTAATTAAATTTCCTTCCACAGTCTCTTAATGTCTCCATGTTCTTGGAAGTGCCTCTGAATATTATGTTCATATGCTTTCTGTGCCACTGCGATAGCTGGCTCTTGCAAACCTGAGGGCAGTTGTTTTGCCAGATTTAAAAGCAGAATTCCCTACTTTCAACATGGTTTCACCCTCAGAGGTCATCCAAGGTTTTTGATTTGCCTGGACTCTGATGTTCTTATTGACACAGACATCCTCCATGCATTTATGAATGTAGTCGGATACAACCTCAGCATACACCTCTAAGGTGTGATCTTTGGTGGAAGCCTCCCAAAAAGCAGACCAGTCAGTGCAATTAAAGCAGTCCTGCAGTGCTGACATGGCTCCCTCCAGCCTCCCCACCTCCTTTGAGGGGGGCTTTGTACTGGGGAGCAGAGGTCTGGTATTAACATCCCCAAGATGTGATCAGATGAGCCAAGATAGGGACGCAGGACTGCTTTGAATGTTTTGTATGCTTTGTAGGCATGATCTTGTGTGTTGGCTTCCCTTGTAGCAAAATCCACATGTTGGAAAAAATGGGGGGGAAACTTTCTTCATATTTGCCCGGTTAAAGTCCCCAGCAACAATGAATACCACCACATGTTGTTTGCAAATCATTGATATAGTCAATGATGAAGAATCTGCTATCCTGCTATCCGCACCTCAACCAAAAGCTCAGTGTCCGAAGACCAGTGTGAATAAGTCCTGTTTGCCTTTCTGCACCATTTTTTATAATACATATAAATGCATACCCCACCACCTCAGGTTTTGCCAAATAGAGCACTGCCCCTATCTGCACAGAAGTTTTTTTTTTTTTTTTTTTTTGGGCTTTTTACTTTTATTTAGCGCAGTAGATAGACAGGAAAGGGGGAAGAAGAATGGGGAGAGACCTGCAGCAAAAGGTTGTGAACCCACGACCGCTGCATCGGGGAACTATAGCCCCTGTTCATGGGTCGCCGCTCAACCAGGTGAGCTACAGAGGCGCCCTGCACAGAGGGTTGTTAACCCTCCATGCAAATGGTGTCTTCTGTAACTGTGTCATTCATGCAAGTCTGCTACCTTTCAGTAGTAGGAGTCAACTCAAAACTGCCATGATATTCATGGTCTTTACAAGTGCCTGTAAGCTTTTGTTCTTTACTGTAAGTCCTATAGTCTTCTTTCTACATTTCCCTTTCATGACAGGAATAGAGAAACTTCTCAGATGATATCCTGGACCAATCACAGCAATGTCTTTAGTTAAGTCTTTTTGCACGCTGAATAAAAATGTAAATGTACCTAATTTTTGTGGGAGAAAATCAGTCAATTCTCTTCTGTCTGCTGAGCCATAGATGTATTAATACTTACTCTTAGTCTTTGTTTATGAGACTAGAAATTATCTAACATAATCTAGCACCTCTGATGAATAAGTGATTTTGTGCTCTACAATATGGCTGCATGTATAGTTATTGCTTCTAAGTATGTTAAAATGTAATCAATTATTAACTTTTATTTGGCCTGAGCTCTAGTTGCAGAGCTAGCTAAAGATGTATTATTTTCAAACTTATTTCAGTTTGTGATTTCAACAGTATTTGGACTGATCTGATAAAATTAATTTGTTTGTAATTGAAAATTAGAAATCAGCCTTCTCATAACAAGGTTTTGACTTTGCTTGCATTTGTTTGTTTTTCATGTAGATGCCTCACTGCCCTTTAGTGAGCTAAAAACATCATTTTAATGTATATTTAAACAAATTTGATATTGTGAGTGACCTGGACGTAAGCCACAACTACAAACTATGATACAGCATTTGACTGCCAGATTTTAGGAATGCTGTGGATGTTGCAAAGTTTCACTGTTCAGTGTAATGTAGTTAGCAAAGACCCTCAGACTGATCAGATTGATAATTCATAATTGAAGAAGCATTGTTATATGACATGGCATGTATATAACCTCACTGTGCTACAAGATTTTATTTTTTTTTAAAGGAAGAAGGAGAAATTTTTGTTTTTAAAAACAAAAAAATGCTTTTTTTTTATCTTATATTTTATTTAGTGTCAAAACATGTAAATGAACTCTTGTCATCTCTCTCTTATTCTGTCCTAACTAAACTTCTCACTTTTCATCTCTGGTCCCAGCTGTAGATCGACTGTCCAGTTTGATAATGTCATCAGGGAGCAGTGACGAAGTCACCAGGCTGAACCCAGAAAAATATTTTCAGGGGACTTCTGATGAAGGACAAGTAACAAGTGAAAATTTGGAGAATTCCAGCCACAGAACACAAACAGACTGCGACTTTCAGATACCCATCACCAATATAGATGACATTTTATCAGAAGTGAGCCCCTGCTATGACATAAATACAGACATCAAATCCCCGTTGAAAACACTACCTGATGAACCAGTATCCCACTGTTCAAGCCAATATACTGTTGTCCTTTCTGAGGAGGATCAAGTGCAGTCCAGGGTCCTGGATTGTGCTATCGCAGAGGCAAGGAAGGAAAAGGGCATCATCAGCCCTATGGAGAACGTTGTGGACCAACAAAAGGAAAATAACTCTGAATCTTGCCTGGAAAGGCCTGGTGCTGGTTTTAAACATATGTACCGTATTGCAGATGACAATTCAAACAGTGACTCCACCACTGACAGCTGTCTAACTCTGCATAAGATGGGTGATAGTAGTCTACATGAACCCCTCTCTGATGAGAAGGAAGTGGTGTTTTATTCCTGTGATGCCCAGCAACCTGGTGCCAGTCAACGCTCTAATTTAAATGAGTCACCACATGGGTGTTTATCTTTTCAGCATGTCCACAATCAAGATAAAACACTGGACCATACCTCAGATGCGTTACAGGACTCCTCTGATGTCTCACTGACAAAAAAAGGAAACGCTATAACAACCCATTGCTCACAGCTTTCCCATTTATCAGAGGTCTCCTCCGCACAACAGCCATGCCAGTCCTCCAACAGTACATTCCCTGTGCCAACTACAGGGTGTTCCAGTAATAGTGCCACATTCATAGCATGTCTGGCATCCAGCCCTAGAAATCTAAATACTTACAGGAGCCACTCCCCACCAGATACTTGTGATGCTACTGCAGATGTGCTTACAAATGCCTTGCAGAGCTCAGATTTATTAAAGCATTTTAATACACAAACACTTTCATTAGCATCTGAGACATCTGGTTCAGGTGGCAGATCAGATACAGGAGTGTCAGCATCAATGAAAACAAAACAAAAAGTCTTAGAGTGTACAACTAATTCAAACCACAGTGCGAGTTCCTCACTAAAGAAGACCTCTGCCCAAAAAGTCCTTGATAATTCAGATGGTCCTGTGTGGAGTAGTAACTTTCAACTAATGGCTGAAAGTGGTCCACCCAAACTGAAGGGCTTACATATTAGGAGTAAGAACCAACAACAGGAGGAACTTTTTCAAAAACCTTGTGAAAGTCTAGTTTCTTCAAATGTCACTTCTTCCCTGAAACAGTCATCAACATTACTACCAGTGGTAGCCATGCCTAGCTTTTTGAAGACCACTGACCAGCCTGATACGAACATCTGTCTTTCTTTGTCCAGAGTAAAAGACAGAAGGCAAATTACATCTGAGTATGGAAATTCAGGGGGCATACTACAAACTGTTCAACTGGCCAATGAGAAGGACATCCATTTAGCTTCCAAAGTAGCAGCCAAATCACTGGACCAATCACACCCACCTGTTACTCAGAGAACATTTATAAAAGTTCAACTGTCTTCCATATCTGGATCATCATTGCCAGCTATGACACACAGTGAAACAGTGATTTCAAAAGACACTAAAGATCCTAAAAGCAATTCAAATGCAGGATCAGCATTTACACTTTCTCCTACCATTTCATCAGCAAAGAAAACAAATGGCATGGTCAGTAGCATAGTGTTGAATTCTCTGTGTTCGAGTAAAGCAGCTCCTTCAACGACAAGTAATGGCTTAAAAACAAGTCCTATCGCGGAGACAAATGAGACCCTAAAGTCCAGCACATCCAGATTATATCTTAAGACAATGAAAAGGCGAAGTCTCTCCACAGATACTACCTTGTCTATGGACTACAACCCCTTTTCTGTTCGGCATAAAATAAAATCTTTTGAAAACTTGGCTAACTTTGACAAACCTGTGGCGAGGAACAATGACATTCAGTCTTATGCCCTGGCATATAGAGCCTCGCTTAACCAAAGAATTGCTGGTTATATGGGCTTGGTTAACTCTGTTGACTGCCAAGAACAACCAAGGAGTTTTAGCTCTTATGTGGAGAACTTAATTCCTGTCAGACCATTCTCACCTCTTCTTGGTAAATCTCCTGAGCCTGATGTTCAAAGAGCTGTGGATGGGATTGCAACACAGACCCCTCCTGTGCTTCAGAGGAAAAACAGCAGACTTCCCCACTGCAGGTTACGGAAACTCAGGGCTCTCAGTATGCCTGAATTGGAAAAACTATGCACAAAGGACTTCAACAGAGGACGTGGTACAGCTGTAGATAAAACAGAACCTGACATCCACTCCACAACACTTACGAAAGCTGCAGTGACTGAAAGTTTTCCATGCTCTGCAGCCCCAACGAATGTGCATATGAACAGGGTCAGAAGAGGTGATATTGGACCCACTGGAGAGACTCCTCAGGGAACCCCAGAGACCTATCGACAGTCTAGTTGGTCCATCAGGTGGGTAGTTCAATTAAAATGGCCTCATTTTCATTCCTTTATATTTCAAGCAAATTGTGTATCTCACTGAAAAGGATGTCCCAGTTGGGCAATGGGGCTGAGGGCAATTATGCTACAACAGATAGACATGCTAATAATTATGTAGTTTTGCAGAACTAATCACAATGTAAAGTTCACAAATAGTGAACTTTATTTGAAAAAGTCCTATATAAGAAGAAAGATAAAAAGGTAGCTTCCAATATTGACTTAAAACACATTTATTCCTTTGATTTGATTTTGTTCTGTGAGTGTTACAATGAGTTACAAGGACATGTTCCAGTGGTTCTCAGCAGAGACAAAGCAAACAGTGATCCAATGTACACTATGTTAATTCAGTGAGGCTGGGGTGACAAATTGTAATGATGATGAAGCCCAGTTATTTCCTGTCTCTGAGCTGAGAAAGGGATTATTCAGTTAAGCATTCCTTTAAACAGTTCACATCTCTTATTTTGACACACAAGCTGATGGGCAGATTCACCTTTTTACACAATTCTGTTCCTGGACTCTTCCTCTTAATCACATTCAGTTCATTTGCTGAGTTGGACTTATTCACATGATGTTAATAGTTCGCCTAAACATAATATTTTGTCCTCTAACAAATTGAACTTACAAACATAAAAACTTTCTTAGCTAAATGTTTTCAGGGTTGTTGTTTTTTGTTTTTTTTTTTGCATTTGTCTCATGACATTATGGCTGTTACCAAAGTATTCAACTTCATTTGTTAATGTTCCAAACCCCAATTTGTTCAACTAGCTTCTTGCTATGAAAGATGGCTGCATGCTCATGTTGTGAGGCCCATGTCAGTCAAACGTCATCTAACCACACACACAGTCATGAGTGTTAAATTTTTAGTTGGATTGGTATACGAGCATGCTCATATACTGAACATTTTCTGAGAGATTGGTTAAGATGGGTTTTGCAGAATAATGCTTGGGGTTTTTATGAAGCTTCATCATTCTCCTTTTCTTTTGTCAGTGATTAAGTCCTTCAGTAGGTCCAAGCTGGATATAGTAAAACTAAGTGCCACAGCAGATGAGCTGTTGTGCATGTGTTTGAACACAAATTGTGAACCAGCTATGTAAGCACTTCAGGATTTTCTTGGCTATGTACTGCATGTCTTGCAGTCTAATAGAGGGTATTGTTGTGAACCAGATTACACAAATAAGTAACAAAGACTGGATTAAGCAGATTCACAGACCAGAGGTAAACCTTTTAATAAAACTGGCACACAATAACTGTGTTGCTCTGTGGCACTGGCCTCTCCTCTCCCACATAGACACTCTGAACAAATTGGCCTAATCATTTCATGTCCTCAAAACCCATAATAACAGTGTGAGTATGACTCCTAAATGTTTGGGGATAGAGTACTTTTCTAGTCCGCTTGGTTAGGAGGACTCCGTTGCATACATGAGGTGTTAACTGTCAGGTCTAGTATCATTAGCAGTCTGCGTGCAATGGGTTTGTAGTGCTGGATAATCTTTGCAGTATACAGTATCTACAGTACCAGAGTTTTCAGAACAGGGATGCATCAGGCACCACCCGCACGACCTCACATTTTTTAAGTCTCGAGTAAAAGCTTCATCACAATAATGCATATCTTACATGTAGAGTTATTGATCTAACTCAGACTTTGATAGGCTATTGGCTTTTGTGGAACTTTGGAATAACTTTTACACAAAAAAGACCTGAGGATTCTACCCACTGTCACATATTGCTGAAATTACATGTTCATGTATAATAACTAAAAATATCTGTATGATCGAGTGAAACTTATTTGAAGGTTGACTGTAAACAACTGTCACATGGTTGTTAATGATATGAACCTAAACCAAGCTGAACACTATCACAGAAACTACACAGTAGAGTTAGCACCACAGCTTAAGCTTGCAGCACATACATTGCACACAATCTAACTTGGAACACCAAAAAGGACTGAATGGCTGAACACAAATAGCAACACTTCTTTGTAGCTTATACGAAGTGGGTAATAGGCTGGCTTTTGGTTTCCCCAGCTGCAGCGAGTCTTTATCCATGCAATATTGTGCTTATTTATTATATATTCCTTTTTTAATGAAAAGGACTCGTAATGAAAGTAAGAATGCATCATTTGTAATAAATATATTATTGTATGTGTCAACATGTCCACTAGACTACACTAAAGAAGGATAAAGGCAAAAAGATATAAAAAATTGAGCAAATGTCTTTATTTTTCCTCCTTTTGTCTGCAGTTTGACGGACCTGGCTACTTTTTCAGTGAGTCAGAGTAAGCTGCAAACACTGTTGTCTTCCCTGACAGCTAAATCGTGTGTGTCTGCCCTGCTTCAGGACACTAAAGCAATCTCAGAGGTAACAACACACTGCTGAATTTTCCGTAGACTATGTTGTTTCAGTCCCACTTTCACTTTTTTGTCCCACTGACTGTGTCTGTCAATATGAACTCTGCAGGTCAACAATAATACTCATCTTGTTGTCCTGAGTAAAGACGAAGGCTCAGGCCTTGGTTTCAGTATTGCTGGTGGAGTCGACCTTGAGCAGAAGGAAATAACTGTAAGTACAGGTTGTAGACTCTACAACTTACTCAGTATTACACTCTCTAACTACAGTGTAGAAGCTCAGGAATCATAATGTGTAGTGCCGTCTGTCAAAATGTATGTCATGACACTATTACTGGGAGCAGCAAAATCTAAAATGTTCAGTCTTACATATAATGTAAGTCACAACATAAAGTATTTTATTATGTTATAATGCCATTTAGCCTGTCATCTTAATTTGGCTTTCTCCTGGCAACAGATTTGTTGAAATTAAATATCCATATGTATAATGTGGTTAGAGCAGTAGAATCAGTAAATTAAACTTTCTTGCAGTATGTGTTGTCTATAGCTGCTCTATACTGTTTGAAAAGCTTCTCCTTCACTTTATTACATTTTTGTAACACATATGGCAGCATGACATATCATAGTCGCTGGACACATACAACACCCGTCATGTGTTTGAGACCAGTTATTTTTTACCAAGGTAGCTCTATTCACAGAATATGGTTATCCATATTTCTGTCATTACTTTAATACATAAAGGTCAGTCCAGAAAATTACAAGAATTTTGAAAGTTTCTTCAAGGTCAAAAAGCATAAAAGCTGTGATAAAACTGTCTCTTTTAAGGACTGGCCTAGGAAAGAATGGCCAAGAGTTC